GTGTCAAACAATACGCTTTAGCTCCGCCCACCGCGTTCTAAACCGCGTCCTCTGTCGTCTGAATGACCTTCTTATTCGGCCAACGTCCTATTGGGCTAACTCAGTCGCTTCGAAATGCAAATCCTATTGTATGCAATGCAACGTTTGAACCGGCGTAGTGGACTAGAAGAACGATTATAGGAGTCACAGCGACATGGGCATGATGCATCAGAGACATTTTCAGTACTTCGTCGTTAGGCACATCTTAGCGTTTACCCAACAGTCGAACATTGCTGTGATCAACAAGGCTAAGCTGAGAGCATTTGTAATGACGGGAAAGAGACCCACCGGCGACTTTGAGCCGGGAGCCTGGTCGGAACGATGTTGGATGAAATAATGAAATTTCGGCAATCACCGGAGAACTCTGCGTGTTGTGTCGTTGATCTGGCAGCACCTGTCAGACCGAATGGGACCGAACCGGCTCGAACGAGTCTGGGCAGGGTTAGGCCGAGCCTTGCCAACTTGCCAAACCATTAGAAGCGCATTGTTGTACTCACTCAAACGAGCGGCCCTGTTTGCGCGCCGCGTAGCCCGTTAAGTCACAGCTGGAGTGAAGCCGTCCGACGATAGCCTTGAAACCGCATCACCGGTGGAAATGGTATGGGGACAAAGAGCACGTTTCGAATTACTTTTTTTGCGGCGATCAGTACCTTAAGTTTAACGCTGCGTAACACGAAACTGCGTTCATGATCGAGACGAAATTTCAGCGAGACGGATTTTAAGTAAACATTAGTACCGTCGGCTTGTGTGCGCCTGATGGATGATGTCTAGTTTTCTGTTTACACCTCGGTCGTCGATTCCACGGCTTCACGAATTCGAATTCGACGGTGTTGGTTCCCAGACCCGGCATCGACAACGGCGGCAATGGGCAACTGTGTTGATTCACGTCTTACTTTCTTACAACTGGTGACGCTATCACGGCGCAATACTCTGACTGGTGGTCTCCTGTGAGAAACTGCGATTAGACGGTAAAGTTTAATTTTTAAAATTCTCTCCAAACGCTTTGCGCCTCCTGCTAATCAGAGTCGCTTCTTGTTGGCCCTTGACTACGTCCGCCCACTCTAACGCTCTGCCGCATGTAATCGAGGTGTTTCTTCATGCCCACCACCGGGACCGTAGCCACGCTGACATAACCGTGGCGGCAAGTCGACTCGACAATCGATAGAAATTAGCCTCTTCTCTCAGAGTTCCACTGAAGCCCTGCAGAAATCTCATCAGATGCTGGTGGGAGCTCCAGTGGCTATTGTTCGGACGAGCATGCCGGGCTTCTTTTGCTTCCGTGCCTCTGAAACACTGCATAATTGCTACTATTACTCAGACATACGCTGCAACCGCTGCTAACCGTTCCTCAGAACGTTGCAGTTTCGGCTGATTAAAGGGAAGAACTGCCATTGCCATAACGTGATTACGGTGGAAACGCGGCAATCGCTTAGCATTTTTCGTTTTGTCCGGGTGCAATCACGTGTGCCAAAAAAGTTTCAGACAAATCATTTCTTTTCACATCGTGAGGCAATAACCGTAATTACCCGGGTAGAGGCCAGTAAGTATTTTCTGCACATTACATTAATGGTGCATAAAAACTTAAGTAGAAAATTAATACTTGGCAATTTTTCGTTTTTCTGTATCGCATATCAGATGTGCATCATCAGATTGAAATCGCTTCCACCATTTTGCGCTCATTTTACACATGTCAGAGAGCCCGGTTGAAGCTGTTTCATAAGACAGTCTAATTACAGGTAGTGAAGGCAATTTTACAAAACAAATTAATGTGACTTTTTCCTCTTTCTGATCCGCCTGAACAATCGTAATCACGTTGGTGTTTTCACAGGCTTTCGTCGAAATCAATTTCCTTCCAGCAGTTCCAACGAGACTATGAGTGATCGTTTATTGTGGTATTGTTAATAAAAAGCATTCAAACTTGCTTCCTAACCCTAACGTTGCCGAGATTACGTCGCGGTTGTCTGTTGACGTCGTCGCCAAACCTACTCCTAGATTTGTAGCCACTCAGCATCGTACGATTTGGCAACGCCTCCGACGGTGAACGACTCTCTCGATCGAAAGTTTGCGTTTTCATTTTCCGACTTTAACCCTCATTTTGTACCGTAACAGCAGACCACGTCCTGAAAGTCCCTCTCCAACTTATGTCTTCTTTCGCATTCGACTTTTTCGCATTGAAATCGAAATCCAAAATTCCAAATGAATACAACGTGAAAGTTACGTTGCAACCCGCCAGACCATTTTCATCGGCGATAGTATTCCAGCATTTATCCCGCCAAAGAAAAGTCAACGTTTTCAAAATTAAATACTTACCAAAAAGGTTAATAGCCCGAGTACAGAGATTGCGGTATGCATAAGCGACGAAAGATTACATAAGAATGTGAGCATTGCCCTTCTTACCATGCCAGGTAAATTTACCAGATTTAACAGTAAATGCAAAATGCGCTGCTGAGTTTTCAGTGCGCAGGTTCTTGAAATGTGTCAGTAAAATCGATCAGAAATGTCTGCATTCATTTAACTAAGCCTTTTTAACCCATCGCAAAAGAGTTGCTACCACGATTTTCACAGGTCATATACCATGTTATATGGTAATCGAAATACTATTTTCGCTTCTTGACATCCTTCGATTCCGATACTTTCCTTTCTATCTGAGGAGAGTCGAATTTAAGGCTACTACTAGATTCGCTCGTTGCTTTTGTGGTTCATTCAAAGCATATCGCGCCATTTAACTCTTAAGCGGCACTTCGATCGTTCTAGTTTACGTATTGGCATTGAATAATCATTTAATCAGACAAAATAAGATGATATATAACTCCGATGAATAGTATGGAGTAGCTACGGTCAATGTGTTTATCATTTCTATTCCACTCCACTGTCAACTAATTTCGGAAGAAGAAAGCAGTTGAGAATCACAGACCACATACAGTGATGCATAGAATCCAGAGTCGGTCGTTTAAGCTCTGCTCCCAGTCGTAGCGTGTAGGCTGGTATACATCTGCATTCAAACCAGAGAATTCGATCAGAAAATTGAATGACTTTTCTCCAGTAGGATTAGATTCCATGCTGTGTCAGCGTTTCTTTTCACGGCAGGATGTAATAATTGTCATAACCGATCTCGACTCGAAGGTTGCGTCGAATGCATCACTAGGACAAGCGTACTCTGCCGTCATGGAATCGATAACACGAATTAAAGGTCTGTAGGGTAGAATTACACAAGCAGAGCTTCTGTGACACAAATGTACTGTTCATAGGCGAGATCCAACTGTCTCACCCGCATAGAAGTTTCTCTACTGACCCTGCAAATATAGTTAGTCTGGGTCGTTACCATGCGCAAATGATGCATTTCGTCACTCTTGGCTCATACAAACGTGACACCTTGACTAATTCCATATTTTACTCGATAATGACAGACAAAAATTTGATTGAGTGCGGTGGATCTACCAGAAAAAGATAAGAAGCTTCTCTAATACCCTCCAGCTCAGGTCAAAAATAGGCAACGATGAGAAAACGTTGCATAGCTTCAAAGAACTCACCATTTCCATGGCTAAAAAATAGCTCAGGTAACAGCAGGTTATTAATTACTACTAAGATTATAATACCAGTTTCCGTCGCAACGAAACACCCCAACCATAAGAGGAATCAGGATAAGAATATCAACTCACAATGTTATACCGCGTTATATAAGACAGCACATCGTCATCTGGTTGAGTCAGATGACTGCTAATGAGACATGGAGCTATGGTTCGAGCTACAACCAGGAAGATCGGAAAGACAGTCAAAATAGGTGCCTCCAGGGTAACAGCTAATAGTTTGGGTACTTTCAGCAGCTGTATTTCACATTTGTTCTTGCATACCGCTAATCCCGGCCTAATTATGGAGGTAAGTTCAGATATGTCCATAAAAAACAGATTCAAAACCCATCGCTAAATTCAAGGTTGAGGAAGCCTTGAGATATAAAGCGAATTCTCTATGAGTTAATTCAGTGAAGTGAAGGAGATGGTAAAAACCCTCTGTGCCATTTTCATAAACAAATACCCTCGAATGTAAAAACAGAAAACAAGAGAAGGCGCAATGAAATAAACCAACAGTAACTGTCACTGATTTCAATTTACCCTATGAATGTCTGCTCGGTTTGGACAGTGATATTGCTGTTTTACTACTGTTTGATCCAATCAGATTTCCTTACAAGTCTTATTTGCAATTATTCGCTCTGTTCCTCATAGTATTCATATATTTGCTTTCTACCTAATAGAGCCGATGCAATCTCCCAAAATTGCGCATGGAATTCTTACTGATGAAGACAAATTATTCATCATGCATATGAAAACTCTGAATCTCACTGGAAAAGTGGATATTTAGGCACAGCTAGCTCCTTCGTAATCATTAATTGACTTTCATAGATCCAAAGATTTCTGAAGGCATTTTCCTGGCATTTGAGTCTATTACAGAATAATAGAGATCGACATATCTTTTCCGTCATGTCTGTGTTAGTTACATCATATCTAACGGATTTCTACAGAACCAGATGCGCTGATCGCAAACGAACTATAACTATTTTCCCAACAGATAAGAGTATGAATATATTTTAAGCTCAGCATCCATTCTACGACATTTTTTTTTGAAAAAATGCTTCTTTGTGACGAGACAATTCATTTTATAGGGCCTTATTTCGAATTGTTTCATTTCCGGTCACAAGCTCAGCTGA